AAGTGTGCTGGAATGGTATATAAAATTTGTTAAATATGAAAAAAGTCGCTAAGCCAACCGATAATTAAACCGAATTTTCGAAAAATTTAATCGAAGAGAAAAATGAATTGTTTTACTTATAGTGCCACAGCAAAACTGTTACAGTTTTAATGAGAGTATTGATCGGTACGATTTTTCAATTTTGTTTGAATAACTCGCGAATTCAATTTTCGCTTTATTGATTTTTCGATTCAATTAACTATTAAGTGCAATTTGAAAATTTTTTTGCACATGAATAAAGTGTGAAATGTTAAATGGTCGAACTACTTTTTTCCTACGAGCGTAACAAAAAAGACAAATCTATTTTCCTATTTTTTAATAACGAAATGCTATAATGCAACCTGTCTGTCAAATACTTCAATTGCACTATTTGAACCAATTGTTTTTCATCAAAAAGGGTGGTCAAATTAACCCATTTTTCTCCACTTGTGTGACATATAAATTATTTCACACAGATTGAAGTGACATTAAAGGATAACTAGTCTTGGATCTTTTCTGTTATACAGTACAAAACTGAAATTTTTCATAGTTTGAAAATTGCATCATAATGCTCGAATCTGATTGGTTTAAATTACTTCCTGTTAAATAAAATCAACAAAAAACAGAAGCTCAATCAAAAAATTGATAACTTTGGGCCGTATATCAGAAAAGAACCCCATTCTTTTGCAGGCAATCCATTGAAATTTCGTGTCCCTAAACCCAAAAAAAATAGGCTTTTTTGTTAAATGTTCCATTCATATATTTCAAATTCAATCAAAAAGATTCTAATTTTAGCTGACTAAAATACAAACAGCAAGACAAAAGCTTTGTAGTTAGTTCTTTCTTCACTGCAAAAGTGAAATTCTTTGATGAGAAGGAAATTTTCCCATCACACAACACAATAAAACTAGTACAAATCAATCGAAGATATATTTATGAAAATACATTTTTTTACTTCTTTTATCAAATAACAAAAACTCATCAACAGACCATACCAACGGCCCTTTTTAGGAATTCAAGACCTACTGAGAAGCTTTCTTACTTTTTAAAAATATATTAGTTGGTAGATCCGAATTTTGAGCCCACGTGGGTTTTTTTTTGGAGTAATTAATCATCACCTGCATTGACAATGGTTAGTCATCGTGTGGTGATTAACCAACGGGATACCAGTTTTTGATTTCAATTAAATCTAAAATACTGTTAGATGAAAGAAAGGATTCAGGGCAACTTACTGGGCAATATTTACATTGAACTTAATTGAAAATGATTCACTCTTAGAAATCACGAACGCTTTTTCAGTAACTGGCTGACAAAAACAGCTCCCTTATGGTATAACCCTAAATTTGATTTTAAAATTTGAACAATATACACTCAATTTTTTTTTTACAAAACAAGCACTTTGACATGGTTAACAAGTAAAAAAAAATAATGAACAATAGTTGTTTCTTAACATTTTTGTACATCACGTGAAAGACATACTCTGCACTAGTAAGTTGTCGCCCTGCATCACAAATACACTTTTTCATGAGCAACACCAGCCCCCTCCCCCCACCACCCGAATACTGAATTCTCCGAACTTTGAAGGCGTTTGAATGCACCCCACCGAAACTATTAGACGAATTTTATACTCAGTTTTAGAAAATCTGCCGAAAACAAATAATGTTCGACGCAAAAATGCAATCTTCGGTAAGTTTAAATGCTCAAGACAAATTACTGCATTGTATTGATCCGAAATTTTGCATTATATTGATCCGAAATAATCCGAAGTTTCAAAGGTACCCACGTGATAACTTTAAACCCCCCGCTATGAAAAAAAAACGTCGTTTTTGTCCTAAAAACGTGAAACACCAACCGGTTTTTTTGAACATACTGCAGCATAGTATGCGAATTGGTAAATTTTAATTAAGGAGTCAGTTGCAAAGATCTGCAAAATCCACTGGACAAGAATTTATCCAAGACTGAAATTAATTTTTAGTTGTAAAGTTTTTTTCTAAAGAGGTATATATTTTTCATAAAAGAAAAATTAGAAACCTTGACTTACTTCATGATGAAATAAGAAGTTGAGTGATTTTCTATAAAAATATTAAAAGCTGAATTGTCATTCTAGAAGATAATTCCACACTTACAAAATAAACTCAAAATCTCAAGATTTAAACGTAAAAATCAAAGGAAATCGAAATTATCACAAGTTAATCAGCAATTTAGGCTTGTTTTCAGTTAGATTACAAAGCTTCGTCAAGTTTAGCTTCAAATTTTAGATCTCTGTTTTGGCTATTATAAACACAAAACCACATCAATCAAAATGTCGTAAAGCGAAGTGATAAGACGGAGGAGATTAAGTTGTTTAAATAAGTCAATAAATCACGTTGCAAGAGCTACCAAATCTGTTATCCACACCAAGCTCGATTGATCCAAGTTTGACAGATTTGAACGTAACAGTAGCAGAACGGAATGATGATTACAAATGAAGATAGCATTAATAAATGGACCTCAAGATAAATCAAAGAGGTCTTTCTCGAATTTGAAAAAACTCGAAAACTAAAAAAATCTTATTCAGGACCATAGTTGGCCTCGAACCAACGACCTATAGATTCAGACATAGAGCTCACCTTATGTGTCACCTAGTGCAACTTTGCGTTAATTAAATTAGATGTCTAGTTTTTAGAACTTACAATGAAGTGTGTTGCGGGGGTTTTTTCGTTGATTCTCCAGTGACCAAATTGACAAAGAAGAGAGAAGTACTATCACCACAGGAAGGATCATTCAGCTCTACCCACACATCTTCGCCATCAGAATCAGACTAAAATCGCTCTAAGAAAATTTTAGGTGCAAATAGTTCGGATAGGCAAAAAAAACAACTAAAGAAAAAGGATAGCCGATTACAGTGCACGTAGCACAGAAGGTTCCGACCTCGACAATTCAACCAAGAAATTCAAAAATTCCGTACAAATTTTTTTTTAATTAAAAAATGAAAAAAAATTAAATTTGAAATAATAATAAGATAAGAAATCACATTGAAACTGATGCCTAAAGGAATTGAGAAAACCGTCAATTGTGTTGATTGGTCGGAACAACAAGTCAACAATCTTCATTTAGTTGAGAATCTTGTTGTTCTGTCAATCAGAAATTAATTTGCACCTGTGAAGCATGAATTTCTAGGTTAAATTTTGATCACAGTCAGACTTGAAAAAAAGGATAGCCACTTACAGTGCAAGTCGCACGGCATGTTCCGACTATAGTCTTAAAAAATACATTTTTTTTCACATTAGTGTCGTTTTTTCTGCGTATGAACGAAAAACTGAATTTTTGTTTCGCAAAATGGCCTAAAATATCCAAAAACTAACTTCACTCGAATTAAAATATAAGAATAAAAGTTTCACTCGAATAAAAGTTTTCAAGGGTTAAATTAAGCATAAATAAGCTAATTTAAACCTGCTCTCTCGCTTTACTCCATCGAAATTAGACAAAAAACAAAAAAGTTTTCTGAGCCTGAGAGCCGATACAAAAGCCAAATTTTCATACAACGAACGTTACTCGATGGCTTAACTCGCTCGAAATTGAACTAACAAAAACTTTTCTTAATAAACCTGTTCTTCTCCACACTGAGACGACTTTTTGAAATTTTTCAAATGTTCAAATCAGGAATTAAAAGACTTCATTTAATATGGTTTATCACACAACCCACTCCAATGATTATTTGTGGTACCTTATTTCGCGTGGAAAACTAAAACACACCGAAGAAAAAAATAGATGGCTTTAAAGCTCTTTAAATTCGTAGAACAATTTATGATGGACACTTTTTTGGTAAAAACTAACCCAATTTGAGAAAACTGGATCAAAAATAAAACTTTTATTTCACTTAAAATCTGATAATTAATTTGCAGTTTCGAAATCAGAAGTCGATCACGTTATTCGTGACTTTTAAACTTTTGCTGTTCGAAAGTGGAGTTTGCCGTCGTTTTAATAATGGAAATGCATTGAACACAAGAAGACATCACATGTCAAACGCCAAAAAGAAAATTTGAGACTGAACTAAATTTAGGAATTTTCTTGAAAAAACGAAAAAAAAAATCATCGCGACCTAATTAGAACTACGTTCATTGACTCTTTATAAACTGCCTTCCTTTTAGCATTGGAACAATTATCTGACTCATTGTAAATTAAGTCTGGAGAAATTTCGCAATTAACTACATACCTCGTGAATAGACTGAGTTTTTGTTTCCTGGGCTCCTTTCACTGCCATAATGTTCAATAAAACTGCACTTCGAAGTTTGGAAGATAAAGCACACTAACTGCACAGTACAAAAATAATTATTTACATAATCTACCTGAAATGAAAAAGAACTCGCGAATATTCCACATATTCCGCAACTTTTGACAAGCAATAATCATCTATAACACTATAAAAACTCTAAATTGGCAAAAAAAATTGTCCCTCAGGCAAATTTTTGAAAATCCAGGTCAAAATGCTGTTTTAGGGCAATTTTTGGAAAATTTGGACTTAAGAACCGCGTTTTTGGCGCGCACTCCCCCCACAAAAGTAGTAATATTCGCGCCATAGGCGCCTTTAGAACAATTTTAGGGTCGGTGCGCCAAAAATGGATTTCTTAAAAAAAGCCAAAGGGTGAGGGGGCCTTTGGGTCGGCAGGGGATCGAATCCCCGAAAGGGATTTCGACCCCCTCTCTCTAAATCCGCCCCTGAACTCGGATGATATCAATTCAAAGCTTAAAAATATACTATATTTCTGAGGAAAAGTTTTCAAGAACCCTGCAAGAAAAAGTTGATTTTGATTTCCTATTGGAGCTTGTGAAGCACTGAATGAAGCTTTCAAAACTAGTTTTCTAGGGTAAAACTTAATTTTGCACAGCTTAAAAAGCAGCTTTTCAAATTGCAATAGCAACGGGCTGGCTTCGCTCGCTCTAATTTGGACTAAAAATGAAAACTTGCAAATCCATTTTTCTCGACACAGCTTTTTGTAAAAGCATCTGTAACTTATTTCGAGTATATCTTCTAACAATTTCACCCTATATTGTGATTAAGAATTTTGTCACAGAATCCTTAAAAACCAGGCCGTCAATAGTCTTGAATTACATCTAAAAACTCAATTTAACATGGTAGCTGGGAGTTCCATACTTTGATGCGTGGAAACCAATTTTTTTAGACTAGTCTACAAGGGTGAGTCATTGTCTATTTTTTTAAATATTAAGTTAAGCTACTTCCAGCACGTCGAAAATTTGGTCTAATTGAGCTCGTGTCATCAACGTTTCCAACAACAGCAAAATCCGCATTTTCCCACTTAATCATCTAATTTACAAAAAAAAATAAGATCCAAATTTTTAATCTCTACGATTTGTACAAATTTTACATTGTAAGCAGTAACTTTGAAAGGGCACTGAAAGGGCACTATCTATATCACATTACATTTGACTAGAAATATAAGATCTCTTGAACTTTCCTATTTGAATATGGAATTTTTCAATCGGTACTATATGTTCATATGCCTAACCGACAAAAAGTCCTTTATAGGGGATGGAACTTAAAATTACAACATAAAGCAAAGACTTGGGCTAATATTTGGTTAAGTAGCATCAATGTAGCAGGTTAAGTTGCATCAATAAAACGAAGATTTGCGTAGGCCTTTTGGTTAAGTAGCATAAAAGCAGTAGATTTAAGCTTCAAAAGATTTGTTATTCTCTCTCAGAGGAAATTTTCGAATTTCACTACTACAGGAAGATGTCTTTAGAAGCACCAGATCAGATAAGCACATTTAACGAGTTACTAGTTTTCTTTTCTAACCAAATCATTATTTGTGAATTTCGAAGCTTGAGAAAGATTTGTGATGAATTGTTTCCAACTTGAACTCTGCCTTTCGAATAGTTGATTTCGGGCTTCCTTTGGTTTTCAGCCAGTGTTGGAACTCAGATATATGAGGTTTATCACCTTCAGCTATTCCGACAACTGAATTTTCATGACATATTTTCAAAATGGTCTACTTTATTGTTTTTTTTTTACAATCGCCGAAAACTTTAAGCCCGAGTGACTATCAGAACGGCGAATTTGGCTGAAGCTAACTTTGTGACTAATCCTACCAAAAAACACAGATCTCTGAACGAACTTGAAAAAAAATCTGTTTCGGATTTGCAGATGGTCAAAAAATTTTCCCGAACGATACCGCACATAATACATAGCATAATAAACTAGCCGACGGAAAACGAGAGAAAAGCCACTTAAGTCGAAACAAATTTGAAAAAACGTGGAAAAATACTTAAAACATTTCACTTTTGTCTCGACTGGCATTAGGTTCTATTTGAGGAAAACTGCCAATTAAGACAACCAGTGTCAAATAAATTTGCATTGAGCCAACACTTATTCAGTACAACTAACCCTACAAAACTTAAGCAGGCAAAAATTGGGTAGAAAAAAAGGTTTCTTTTTGAATGAAATGTTGTGATAAAATCTTGAGACATCAATTTAAAGCAAAAAAGACAACCAACTACAAGCAGGAAAACTGTCAATGAATCGGAAAAAACTGATAAGAATGTATGACACATTAGAGATAAAAATTATGATCAAAACTCTTTTTTTATAGTACATTCCCAACAAGAGAAAAGGATAGCTGGTTGCTGTGCAAGAATCACATATTATTCCGACCAAATTCATTAAAAATTTTTTCGAGTTTTTTCTTTTTTATCTTCAACTTAGCGTCAACTTTAGTGTGCGGCGTGATGAGAGAACTACAAACGCGCAGAAGGTTAGTGAACTAGACAAAATCGACAACATAGATTTCGAAAAGTTGAATTACAAACTAGCATAAAAGTTTTTAATTTTTTTTTCGAAAACTTTTATTGCCAAGGAAGCCCTAAATGAAGTTTCAAAACCAGTTTTCCTATAGTGAAATCAAATTTTCTCGGCCTAAACTTTATAACCGGAACGTAAATCGATCGCTTTACTAGCTCGAAACTAAACTAAAACGCACAAAAATTTCTCGGAATAAAACAGCTTCAATAGGATTTATCACTCGGCCAATTCCACCGACTCTTTGCGGTACCTAATTTTGCGTGGAAAACAAAAACAAAAAAAAAGAAAAAATTGAAACACCCAAATATAAAGTTCCTCCCAATTTTCAATGGTGGAAACAAGAACTGGATCGACAGATAATTTCCTACTCTGCTGGGAAATCTACATTTTCCATAATAGTTATTCACATTTTTCGCGGAACTTCAAATTTTACCAACTCAAATTTTAAAAAGACTTTTTGAAAAAAAATTATCACGACCTACATAAGTCTACAGTACACTCGTAGACCATTAAAGACCAAGCCATAAATTTGAAAATTCTAAATCCTTCAAACACACACGGATAGGAAACTTTTTCACCGTCAAAAGACGCAATAAGTCGACTGAGCTGGTAATTTCTAAACCAAACCCTTTATTATTGATTTCAGCCAAATATTTTTAAATTCAAAAATGGCCAAATAAAAGTTAGTAAAATAATTTACAAAACCTAGCCGTCAGAAGTTGGAAAAGAGTCATGAACGCAACGAATAGAAAAACAACAATTGCTTTTCGAAAAAAAACGTCAACTTTCGATTTTCAAAGAAACAAGTAGATGGACTTGAAGCTCTTTGAAACCCAAAACAAATTGATAGATTTTTTTGATAAAAAAAACAAGAGCTGGATCAATATGTAAGTTTTTAATTTCGCTGGAAATCTGAATATTAAAATAAAAACATTTTGGAAATTAGAAGTCGATACGTTTTTTGTGACCTTCACATTTTGCTGTTAAGCTTTCCACAAAAAACACAGATCTCTCAACAAATTTGAAAGAACTCAGTTTCAGATTTGCAGATGGTTACGTATTTCCAGAACCATACTTAATGCACATAGGCAAAGCGGAATTTGGCACCACTTGCGATACAGCACATAATACATAGCATGGTAAGCCAGCCGACAGAAAATGAGAGAAAAAGCCGAAATAAATCGAAATAAGTCGAAATAAATTTGAAAGTCGAAACAAATTTGAAAACATGTTGAAAAAGACTTAAAATTTGTCTCGACTGCCATAGGTTCAAGTTGAGAAAAAATTGCCAATTAAAACAGCCAGTGTTAAATTTGCATTGAGCCAAAACTTATGCAGGGGAATTATCCCGGCAAAACTTAAGCAGACAAAATCTGGGCCAAAAAATAGGTTCATAAAAGACAAAGCAATATACATACGACCAACATAAATGTCTTCACTACATTCATAGACACTTAAAGACCAAGAAAAAAATTAAAAATTCTAAATCCTCTAACACACACGGATATGAAATTTTTTTTTCAACGTCAAAAGACGCAATATGAGTAGGCTAAGCCGGTAATTTATAAACCGAAACCTTTACTATCGAATAAGGCCAAAAAAAATTAAAATTATGAAACAGAATGACAAAAAAAAGAGTTAGTAAAGTAATAAACAAAAAATTGCCAACAGAAGTTGGAAAAGAGTCATGAACGCGAGGAAATAGAAAAAAGCAATTGTTTTTTTTAAAAAACTTTACCTTTCGAACTTCAAAGAAACAAACAAATGCCCTTGAACCCCTTTGAAACCCAAAAACACTTTGACACTTTTTGGTAAAAAATTCCTAATTAAAAAAAAACTGGTGCAAAAAGTAAGTTTTTAATTTCACTGGAAAACCTTATTCAAAAATAGAAGTCGATCACGTTTTTCGTGGCTTCAACAATTTCGCTGTTAAAAATTGGAGTTTTTCCTCTTTTTAACAGAGGAAATGAAGCGAACTTAAAAGAGCGAAAAAAATTGAGCCTGAACAAATTTTAATACTTTTCCTGAAAAAAATTATCAGCATGACCTATATATGAGTATTCACTACCTACGTTCATAACTCTTAAAAAATTAAACTTTGAATAGAAAGGGTATTTTGATTGCAGTAAAGCTCAGAATATATCTGTTTCTAACGAAAACAGAGTTGACCAAATGATTCAAGTGTTGTTCAAGTTGTTAACCTGAAAAAAAGTCTGCTTGTCTGATTTGATAACGCTTTGCGTAGTAATCATTAAATCGTTGAAATAAAAGAAAGAACATGGGGTCATTAGTAACGATTCGTTACATGATACAAAACAAGTAGAAATTATAAGTTACGTGAACAATATTGTTGAATGTCTAGAAAAAAAAACCTTTTGGTCGGACTAGGGTGAGAGTGAAGAAATATATACATGTTTTTCAAACAAAAGTAAAAAGAAACTCTCTGCCAAAACTGATGAATTGTCTCAAAACTAAGTTTTTACAAGATCAAGCACAGATGCATACTCCTTTCTTCAAACTTATCAACTAAAATCAAAAACAACGGGAATAATGAATAAAAGGAAAATATGCCTGTTTTGTGTGTCGTATTCTTCACCCACCCCACCAAGTGCAGTTTCTGTGCTTCTGCTTGAGTGTGCTTGCGGAAGAACACACCCTGCACTTTGCCAAACACCTCGAAGTGCAGTTTCTCCATCTTTGCTCAACCGATATTCCGCCACTCTACATCACTCTGAAGTATACAAGTTTTTTTAGTAGCCCCCGGCATGCTCAGTGCACGACCAAACGTTAGTCCCCTCCATAAAGTATACAAGTAGTTAAAACGGCTCTTTTACAGTCTCCCCTTTGCCCTACTTTGAAATACAATTCGTACAAACTATGCAAAAATTTTAGACAAATTTTGACAAGCTAGCCGCCAGAAAATGAGACAACAGCCACGAAATTAGAAAACTATTTATTTTTTCAAAGTAAAAAAATACATCTACGAAAAGTTTTATACGTTTGTCTCAGTGAAGTTCGATTTGGTTTCAAAACTTGTCGAGACACAAAATTAACAGCAATATTTTAGAGCAACCGTTAAAATAGACTGGGACCATCCAACATAGTTTTCTATTTCATAAATGAAACAAAATATAGATCGAACTTAAAGATTATTTTATACTATAAAAATGGTCATATCTCCAGAACTACTGGCTTTAACTGTTTGAAGTCCCTAAAAAGGCCGACAGCATACAGCTGGATTTTCGATAACTTTTGAAGTTAATTAAAGTTATCACATCGCAGATATTAATATTGCGTCCCGAAAAACGTTTTGAATGTTTGTATTAGTATGAACGAAAAGACGTACTCCGCATTTATATTTGTAAACAAAAATAACTGTGTTGGATTCAGTTAACTACATTGCAAAATTTGGCACTTAAGTCAAAAAAGAGACTTCTTATACAATGTCAAGTAAACGCCTGTTAAATAATGTATTGTATTGAAGACAGATAAACATTCAGCTTCCCTAACCAATAGAAATTAATGATGGTCATTAAATTTATAAACTGAGGCCTGTTTTTTTCTGAGAATAGATATGATTAAAGTTGATCGTCTTTCATGACAATCTTTCGTCTGCTTAAAATTGAAGCGCGAATCTCTTCTTCAAAACTTTTTCTGATAACGCCATAGTCCATTATAGATTCCGGCTTGCTTTCAATCCAATACGCATCAAACAGCTCGAAAATCTGCACGAAACATTCTTCAAAAAAATCAACACCATTTCTCAGCTTGTCTTTTTCTTGATAGTAAAAAATGTGCTTCAAAGTGCCGAACAACAGCAACTGGTAGCACAAGTTAGTCAAATCAATTCCAGTTATTGCAAACGAATACCCTATGGTAGGGTTGTGCGACCTTATAAGCAGCTGCTTTGCTTTGTCGGTGTAAGAAGCTGCAAAGTAGTTAAGATTAGCAAGACCCAGAATCCCCATTCCTCGCAAATCCGTGACAGGGTCTTCGCCCTGGAAACCTAAATCCTTCCAATGCGGTCCAGTCCTTGTGAACTCATTATCGCCATTATCTTCTAACTTCAAATTTCGCCAAATGTTTTTCAACATACGTACATGCGAATCATTGGATTCGTCAAATTTTGTAATTCGCAATTTTTCGACTTCTCGAATCAAACTTCGGTAATCGCAAATTAAAACCATTGTAGATTCCAGTCTTAATATATTAGATGAAAACGCAAAAACCTTTACACTTTGTACATTTTTGATAGCAACTTCTTTTGAAAACACTTCTGTTGAGCCTCCCAAAGATGCCAGAGTCTTCAATGAACCAGTAACAATGGTTCCGAAATTATCAACCAGATTCTTAATTGACGATTTTGAGTGAACTAACTGCTTTTCCACTTTCAGAGCTCTGTCTCCATCTGATAAGTCATGGCTTTCCAGTATTCGCTCAATTGCACATTTTCCAGTAAGCATATGCGTAAACCATTTCAGCATATAATATACATATTTCTGGTAAAGTTTCGAAAGCAGCCAAACCATTTTTTCCTGAAAAGAGCAGAAAGTCAGTTCAATTTTAATTGATATAATTTTAGTATGAGTCAGCAGGGTGGCAAAAAGGCCGCCAAAATTCGTGTTGAAATCAAGCTTCAAAAAAGAAACCCATAAAACTGAGAATCTCGGAGTCAATCAGATTTTTTAATTTTCATATTCCTGGTTAAACGTTTCTGTTTAAGTCGTCATCTTTTAGCCCTGAAACTTTTCTGTTCAAGTCCTAGTTATTGTTCCGACTTTCGTAACGAAAGTAACGGAAAATTTATGCTGGGGGTGGGTTTTTTTCTTCAGACAAATTTCGACTTTTTAACTAGCCATTTTTGAGGGACTTTTTAAAAATAATTCTAAAAGTATTAGTGTCCTGAGCTTAATTTTGAAAAAGTAATTCACCTGTGATCATTTTTCGTAAAATTATGGGGTTTAAAGATTGCCATTTTTGCCAATTTGGGACAATTAACGCGCGATATATTTCGCGCTATTAACGCGTAAGCGGAAATTTAATCCGTAGTAGAAATCGTTCCAACATGGTTGAAGGAAGCTTATTTGCCGTAATTGATTGTTTACTAAGAGCGAAAGAAACAAGACTGCTCGTATCAGGGCGAAGCCCTGAATGTTCCGACTGCCTTTTAAGGTTTATGGAGCAGCAGTAATAACATAAAAAAATTAAATGAAATTAAAAAAATGAAAATTTTTTCTTCTTAAATTTGAATTTTTTTTAATGAAAATCATCCCCCCACACGCCATATAAAGTATAAAAAGATAGATTTCGTTCCTTGTAATAAATCAATCATGGCAAATAAGCTTCGTTCAACCAATTTGGAACGATTTATCAGACGGATTAAATCTCCGCTTACGCGTTAATAGCGCGAATTATATCGCGCGTTAATTGTCCCAAATTGGTCAAAATGGCAATCTTTAAACCCTCATAACTTTACGAAAAATGATCACAGGTGAAATATCTTTTCAAATTTAAGCTCAGGACAACAATACCTTTTGAATGATATAAAAAAAATTCCGTCAAAAACGGTTAGTTAAAATGTCGAAATTGGTCTGAGAAAAAAAAACCCACCCCGAGCACAAATATTCCGTTACTTTCTTATCGAAAGTCGGAACAATAAGTGGAATAACAATAAACATAAATAAACATAAAATTTATGCCGGAAAGTTTTTTTCCTTGTTTTTGAAATCACTGTGGCATGAAAACTACAGTTTTTCTCCATTTTTATACTTTAAATTTTAATCTTTGACTGGGCATTGATACGAGCAGTTTGTTTAATGTGTATTTTTTACTCACTTAGGTATAACATTGTAGGCGGCCTCGGCAACAAAACTGATGAACACGAGGCTGTATCTTGCAATGCCTGTATGAAAACTAAAAAAAAGAAACATTTCATGATCTGAAGATAACCATAAGCGATGAGGATGGATGGCTTCCCAGACACGTGACTATGAATCAGTCGCGAATTAATTAAGGATTTGAGAGAAGGGTGAAAAAATGTATCAGTTGAAAACTCTAAGCATGCAACAGTTCGTATCAAGCTACATTCAACAACGAAGCTTTGTCAAATGGAGTTTGCCGCTTGCTTCGCTCGATCCGAATGGCAACTTTAAACTTTCACCGGTTAATCGGCTGATACAAACTGTCCCCTGTTACGAATAGGAGGATCGCGGGATATGATCTATCCGGTCTGACCTACTAACTGGCTCTTCATATTGCCTAATGGCTTTTTGTATTGCACGCAAAATTTTCGGAAGCAAAAAACGGCCTTCAATATTAAAACATGAGTTCAATAAAAAAAACCTGCCAGGAGTTTTTGAAAATATTAGATCTATACTATTGTTAGACAGGCTATTTAGTCTTTGATAGATCCTCTGCCTTTTTCAGAAACCACAATTTTTAATTAGTTTATGATTTTTCATTGTCAGTAAGAAGTAATTTTCCGATCAGTTATGATGTAGAAGATTAAAAAGCTATATGACCGTAAACCTTTTACGAAATCTTCAGTCAAATTGGTGAGTTTTTCTGTTATACGGCCCAAAGTTTCCGATTTTTTTTTCAAAAACCCAGGTTTTCTGTTGCTGGTAGTAATTTCAACCAATCCGATTCGAGCTTTATGATCATATTTTCATTATATGAAAAAGATGAGTTTTGGACCGTATATCAGAAAAGACCCAAAGTTAGTTTCAAATTGTTTGGGGTTGACGTTAATTTGACCTCCTCTCGTATAACTAATTCGCAGTTTCAGGTCGAAGTGACCGTTAGTGGAAATAAAAAGCAGTATCATCACATCAACCAGCGTTCCAGAAAAAAAACCCTTGACAATAGGTTGGCTTGACTTTGACAATTGGTTGGCTTGACTATGACAGCTCATCACTTTTCTCTCCGAATTAACTTCTCTGTTAGCGATAAAAATCATGAATTAGCATGGAAGTATCAACAAAAAAATCAGAAAACATCCAATGATATTAGAAGTAATAACAGATCTTCCCAAAAAATATAGTACACGAATTGCAACTTCCAGACATCTCAATGTAGAGTTGAGTTGGATCCGATCAGGACTGTTGTAAACGAAATTGTTTAATTTAAAAAAAAAATGAAATTTGAAACGATTTTTCTTACAATTTGCCGGATTTCAACAACGTGTCAAACAATGCTATAATTCCATTTTTAAATAATCTTGTTATAGCTTGGCATCACAAAAGAAGACATTGTTTTTATTTTGTGAACCTTAGGTTTTAAAAATTCAAAAAATATATTATCACAAAAACAAATCTTTTTTTTAAAATATGTATGCTATATTTTGCAGGCGACAAGAAACTAACAAGTATAAAAAATCGGAATAAAAAAAAACTTTGTTCTCCCTCTTTTTGTAAAATTTGCTGTCCGATTTTGATGCAATGACTTAGAAGAAAAAAAAGCCGGGTGCTTTGCGAAAAAAAAAAAACAGATGATCAAAAATAAAAGACAAAAGTTGTGTTTCAAATTTGTGCCTTCTTTTTCCAAGTGTGGAGTGACAAAAAGAACTAGCAGAAAACTCAGCACAGAAAACTTTTGATTATACTAGATGACTTTTTTTGAACAAATGATTACAATGTAAAAGAATGTACATATCGAAAATAAATTAGGCTTCAAAAACTATGTTTTCAACTGCTCCGATGAAATTTCCCACTAGCTCACCTTCTTTCTCAATTAGACGGATAAAGAGATCCCGTAATGACGAAAATGGATTGCAATTGATTTTATACAGATGATTAGCAGAGACCGAAAAATTGATTTGAATGGATTTAAAACCTATTTAGTTCGATACAGAATAAAGCTTGAAAATCCAATTCAATGGATTCTGGATCGAGTCAATCCATTTTTTGTCAAAATTAACTTTTGATTTGACTTTTCAATTGATTGCTAGCCTGAAACAAAAACTAAGCGGATAAGTAGTAAATAAAATTTTTGCACAAAAAAAAGAACTTTTCTTTTTTAGGGTTTTGTTGAAACATAGTTTGCCTTACAAAAATGAGCCGAGAACATTGATGATGAAAATGACTTTTGAAAAAAAAATTGCATCTATTTACTTCTCGGTAACGCACAAACTCAAGGGATCCCTGAAATGCAAGAGTTTGCGGTGAAAATCTTTCCTCGTTTGACTTTTGCTCTCTGTAGCTCTGATGGAGATTTTCTTGAGTACATAAATTTGCTCAAGCTTCGAAACATAAAGAATAGTTGATTTTTAACACAAATAAAACACGATAAAGAAATCGATTGGGGATAGCTCAATTAGTTAAAGAAATCGATTTAGAATGGAAAAAATGAATTTTACAGGTGATAGAAAATCGAAATTATTGCATAAACGCATTCAAATCGATAAAACTGGATTGTCACACGTTAATAAAATAGGCCAATATTTGAATGGAACAACACAAAAAAAAATTATCCGAAGAGCGGGAAAAGTATAGAATTTTGTTTAAAAATGTATGTTGCTACAGTGGGAATCAGTTTATTTTCGACGCTTCAGCTTTGTGACCATATTGTATGACTACTTAGCTGAAAAATTTATAGACTAAAGCAATTTAAAAAAACGTGCTGCTTTCTGTTTGTTCATGCAGAGGAACTTTGAATCGAGCTAAAACACAACGAGGAAACAAACGGCTCAAACTTCGAAATATAATCAAGAAAATACGATCATAAGAATGCAATTCTGGGTCGCTGTTTGTTCTATTATGAAAATATGTATCAAATTAGAGTATTATTTCCGATATGTTTTCTAATAAGGTAATATCACAATCTTGATTTCATGATAATAAATCATGCTTCTTCTCCCGATTTGTCATTGGAAAAATTAGCAATTTAGGGCTTTTTTTGAAGTTTCCGGTACAATTTTATTTTATGGTTTTGACGAGCACATATAAAATGCGGTGTAACGTAAAAAAGAAGACCGAGCTTTAAAAGTTTCAAGACCGAGCTTTAAAAGTTTCAAGAGCAATTTTTTAATGACGACAACATACTTAGACGGCAGTAAAAATAATGCATCCAAAATTACTCTCATGATGGTTGTTCAAAACCTGTAACAGTAGACTAATCGATCATATCGAATTTTATTGTCCTCTTGAATTTTTTTTGAGAATAAATCTGTCCAGGCACCAGAGATGAAATAGAAAAAAATTTTGCTAGATCCGGTAGGAGTTCTGACTGCATAGTTTTGTCGGCTCCCTTCATCTGCGAAAAATACAGAAAGTTTATGGGTGGCAACTAACTGAAATACTTTACTACGGTTGCAGTGGGAACCTTTGCAGCATTTTACGGTTCAAGTTAACATCCCCCAGATTTGACGGAAGGAAGTTTTTCTGTGTTTACAGGGACTTTTTTAATGAGAGGAACGATAATGTTCATTTCAACAAACTTGAACAAAAAAAAACTATATATTTTAGGTTTTGCCGAATTTCAACAGCAACAAAGCTCTAATTTCAATTTTGAATCCAAAACTAAAATTAGTAG